GTTTCATGCAGATATTTTTATGTATAGTTTCACAAAACTGAAGTCAAACCATTCTGTTTTTGCTTCAACTTTAGAAATTATACAATGTAATTTAGATTTAAAAAATCCTCATGTTGCATGTATGCAGCATCTTTGTTTGGATCATGATTATTATTATTATGTTTAATGATTATTAAACAATTATATCATTGTTTGGAAATGATTGCCTCATTTTAAAGGGAAAGAGCACAGACAAAGCCTTATTTTGTTTATATGAAGATATTTATTTTATTTGTGTTATTTATTTGATTTGGGGCTTGTTTTAAAATGTTAATTTAGTTTTGTTATTTACATTTACATTATATTTACATTTTGTCATTTAGCAGACGCTTTTATCCAAAGCGACTTACAAATGAGGACAATAGAAGCAATCAAAACCAACAAAAGAGCAATAATATGCAAGTGCTATATTAGTATATTATTATAGTGTTATATTTCAATTTCACAAAGAAACATACAGCATTTTGTCCAAGCAATAATAAAAGGAAAAGGAAAAAAAATTGTGAATCGAATCGTGAGTTGAGTGAATCGTTACATCCCTAATATGTATACAAAACTGGAAATAAGTATGTATAATATATAACCAAATAAATAAGAAACGTAGAACGTTTATTAGCTAAACGAATGTCAAATAAAATAAATAAATGACACAAAGTTTAAATAAAGTAAAAATCAGCAAACAATGTGGAACCAATTAAATAAGAAACAAATGTTTTTAAAAAACTTCCAAAATCACCTTAGATAAATGGCAAATTCAACAGGTTTTTCAAAATCCAAAATATTGCCAAACAGGCACTTTTGCATCTAGTTTCTAAACTAAATCACCCACGATCATCTTGTCTGTCTCACCTCGCCTCACTCTTCTTGTCAGTCAGCTCGACTCTCTCTCCTCACTGGAGAAATTAAATCTGATCTGTGATACGACTGTCGTTCGGCACCCTGCATTGAGCAGCCGCGTTCAGTTTTTAATTGTAGTGTCTGTTCTTTTACTGAACTAAATAATTTTTATTACTATAAAAAATCAAAACGGGGGTCGGTGATGCGGTGGGCAAATGACGTAACCGGTGTTGTGGCTTAACACCTATATCACCGTCAGCACCGTCTATCGCGGCAAGCATAGTGACTGCGTGATTGAGTTGACCAATAAAATCAACTTGAGAGTGGGGGTTGCGCTTGACTGGTTTAGGAAAAAAAGAAATGCCCCTAGAAATATACAGTGGGTACGGAAAGTATTCAGACCCCCTTACATTTTTCACTCTTTGTTATATTGCAGCCATTTGCTAAAATCATTTAAGTTAATTTTTTTCCTCATTAATGTACACACAGCACCCCATATTGACAGAAAAACACAGAATTGTTGACATTTTTGCAGATTTATTAAAAAAGAAAAACTGAAATATCACTTACTTTAAGAATACTTTCCGTACCCACTGTATATCACATCACTAGTGGTCAGAGGAGACACCTATTAAACTAGGTAGAAACATAAACCCATCTCACTTGACCACTTAAGATCGCATCACCAAGCCAGATGTTAAAAATGGGTGTTAAACATGGGTTCCGAGGAGGAGTAAGTGTTTGATACTGCAAAATTAATGCTACAAATTTTGTAAGATGTTAAAGTATGTGACCGGATGGTATTTTATTAGTTCCAATCACAGACAATTTCACTGAAACTGCTTGACAGATTAATTTAATAGACTTGAACCCTTATGGTGACAGAGAACAAATTCTTGATTTTTTGATGTGCAAATCAGGCCTGTCACAATAATCAATATATCAACTTATCGCGCAATATATGTGCATGACCTCAATAATTTTTGGTGATGCAATATATCACCCATATTTACTTAAAAATTAATGTCACCATGTTTTGTATGTTCCACTTGCGCCTGTGTCTTTTGCAGCTTCTCGTACATAACTTGGTGTAGTCATGAGGTGCTAGTTCCAATTTAAAAAATGCTTCTACAAACAAAGTTTCATCTGCAGATATGGCCTTGTTTAGGGATCTGTGTCTTTGTGCATACGAATATCTGACTGCTAAGTAGTGATTGTGTTTCTCAGCAATAGTGTGCGCCCTTAATTTACAGAGAAAAGAAGGTCAGGGACAAATCTGTAGATGGAAAAATCTCCATACAAGTTCTTTGTGCATTTTTCTTTTTTTCTACTTAAAAAATATGCTAAATACATAAATTATTATTATTATTACTCGTTACTTTGCACTTCTTGTTAGAAAATGTTTATTTACTATTTATTCAAGTTTTTTTAAGGCATCTAATATTTTGATACTTCATTTCCATGATCTAAATATTCTTAAAAATTAAGTTTGTTGTCGTTTGGAAGTGTGAAGGCCTTCTTGCATTATTATACTGTTACATTATGATGATATATTCAGTGGCATAAAATGGTCTTTAAAATGACAATAATATCGCTTATCGCAATTATTTCTGGGGCAATATATCGCACAACAAAAAGTTGTTATTGTGACAGGCCTAGTGCAAATCCTCTTTTCCGTTCTCTTCTCTGAATGTTGCGGATTTGTCTAGTGTCCTCAACTCATCAGTCAGAAAGAAACTTTGGGCTGAATAAGGAACTGTGCTTCCAGGAGATACCAAGGCTGTCAAACTCGGGTCAGAACCTGTTTGAGGGTAATAACTGACCATTTTACTGCCCTTCCTCTAAAAGCTCCTAATTGAACAGTTAATTCTGTGATTTAAATAAAAGCACACAGGCATTTAACAGCCCAATTTGCACCAGAAGTACTTCCTGGTTTCAGGACAGAGTGATGTAGCAAAAGCAGATAAAGAACTAGGCAAGTTAACATAATCAGACGATCATATGCGTCTCATTGATTATAAATGGAAATAACTTTCAGGCAAGCTATTTAGTTAATAACATGAAAACATGCGTCAGATAAATGTAACCTGCTTCAGGATATGTGATATGAGTCTCTCGTGTTCACACATGATAAAACTGCAATCCAATAAATCTGACAGCTGCTGCTGCTTCCACAACTGAACTGACCAGAATAACCAAGCAACAAAAGCACTGACAAACAAACATTTGAGCACCTTAAAATGGTCCCTGCGATACCTTATAATACCACTGATATAAACACACTCATTAGAGGAACAGAAAAGCCTCCTGCATGCTTTGCTCCTTGATCATGCTGAAAGACGGAAGCTAAATGAAGCATTCACACCAGCGGGACACGGCAGCTGCTACTACAGCTAACTTAACCAGAGCTCGGATAACCTTGTCAAACACGTGTCTTTACCTCTCTTTAAGCAATTTATACAGAAGTCCAACACGTTGTATTATTACTTCAAAGTTACATATCAAAGTTCAACATGGAAATATCATATGTAGTCAAATAAGGATGAAAAATACTCACAGCTTGACAACATTCTCCACCACCGCCGCCATCTTGGCTCTACTGTGCGCCCAGCGGGTGTTCTGCGCTTGCGCAAAAGGAAGGACCTCAGAGGAAGGTCGCGGCCCGCGGGTCAGGGGCGTTCAGGAGGCGGGAGCGTGAAGGCCAGGCTTTTCATGGTCAAATATAGATGCAGCACAATGCATTGAACAGAAGAGATTTGTTGTCTTTCTAAAACCGTACGACTTTCTTTTTGTGGAGCACAAAAAGAGAAAGTTGAAATACTGTACTGGTTGCTATTAAAGCCAAAAAGACCAAAAAGTATTAAAAACATTTTTTTTGTTTTTTACAGTGCATGGTTCAAACTGTTTTTATAAGATACATCTTCTGAAGCATTTTTTAAAAATCATTAATCATTGTTCATTCCCCCTTAGGTGGTCCTCACTGCCGCACACAAGATTCAGGGGGCGAGGTTGGATCCAGATCCAACTCCTCCCACCTTACATATACCTAAACCTACCCGTCTCCACCCCCTGATACCTAAACCCACCCATCTCCACCCCTAAACCTACCATCTCCACCCCCTAGATGTGGATCCAACCCGGCCCCCTGGATCTTTGTTCTGCAGTGAGGGGCTACAGTGAGTTAGGCTAAACACAACAGTTCGATTCGTGTTCGAACAAAACAATCATATGGGTTTTGTGAACTAGAACAATTAATTGACAAGATCCAACTCAAAACAATGACTCGTTCACAGCCAAAGGGTGGATATCAGATTTTCAGTAGGCTAAATAACGAATGCAATTTCCGTCTATTTATCACACAAATATGCCTTCAGAAGACTTGTAATATGTGCACGAGTCATATGGACTACTTTTGTTGAAACTATTTTGACATTTTACAGACCAAATTCGAAAAAACAACAGCTTCCAGGATTATTGTTAATATTGTTATTGTTTGAGGTTAACATGTGTATACAAGTACTTAAATATGACACTTGAAGAAGGCCTACTAGCCTGCATACATCGCTACACTGAAACATGATATCCTACTATTAGCCTAATTATCATTTGTTTAGCCTACTTAACTGTATTGCCAAAGATGTTATATTTTTTATATTAAACACTCACTCGTAAACAGGCAAAATTAAGTAAAAAAACAAACAGAGTCAAAACAAAACCCGTTAAATTATGAACTCCTAATGTTGTACTGTTCACGAATGGACACGAGGTGGCGCTAGTGGTTAATCTGACAAAACTAAGAGGTCTCAGCAGCTTTTTTGCTCAATGGTCAGAGTCAAAAAAGGACTGAGTTCAGTTTAAATATCAGGATAAATGAATTAAATTTAAATTTACATTTGTAACGGTGAGTTACAAAACACAAGAAGAGCCAGAAATCACCTATTCTAGGAAATCTCGACCCCTTCTTCCTCATGTAATGGATATTATCTGGTTCTCTGATGCTGGTCTGGGGCCTCAGCAGCTGGCTTCAGTTTTTGTTTAGAGTGCTGAAAAGGTCTGCAGAACATATAGAAAAGGCTATCAAAAATACAATATGATTACGCCTAATTTAATGTCATGTTGTGGAAATTGTTCTCAGCTGAACCCAGACACAAGGTTCAAGCACTGCATTCTTTTTTTTTCTTTCTTTCTTTATTCTTTTTGTAAGGGGAAACCATATTCATGCATGTTTCTCTTGTAGGCCATTTTTATATTGACTTTTCCTAAAACGATATAGGCTATCACAAAACAAACAACGTTTTATTCAGCCTCTCCAAACCTCTTCATCTATTCTTTTTTCTTTTGCTTTCCCTTCTTTCTTTCTCAATTCTATGTCTAACTGACAGGTTGTGAATAGTAGCCACACACAGAGCAGCCTTTGACACGCTCACAAAAGCTGCACTGAAGTAGTAGAGCACATGGTGAATACTTTTCGGTGTCCTCCCTTCCTCAAAGCACTTTCAGCATACTCCATGGAAATGTTTGTATATGTGTGCGTGTTTTCAGATACTGCCTGGGTGGTTATTATCTGTTACATTCTGTTAGTATGGGAGTGAGGACGGAGAAAGGAACACATTAGAGCAAGTCTGTGATATAAGGGCCATATTTCCCTAAAACAGAGAGATCACACACACATGAAGATGTACGTACACACACCTTGTACATTGAAAACTATTCATTTTAAGGTTCAGCCGTGATTAATTTATATTTTTAATGCAAGCTTCAGGAACAGGCTAAGCAAAAGTCAACAGAACAGTTTCTACTGGCACTTGAGTCTAGAAACACTAATTAGGTCTGATCATTTTAGGTCTGATCAAAGGATAGTTAACCTAAAAGTGAACATTCTGTCATCATTTACTCACCATTATCCCAGCTACCAGGGAACGTTCTCAGAACATTCTGGCAAGGTTCTTTAAAAGTTACGAACAAACATTCTTCCAGTAACATTAACAGAATGTTTGTTTAAAGACTTTAATAACATTCTCAAAACGTTAGCACAAAAACATTACATATACATAATTCAGAAAACATTCCCATATCACTTTGCAAGAGAATTATGTTCATTAAACCTTTCAGCTAATTTTTGCATAACCAAGGAAAACGTTTTTAAAACTGAACATTTTGAATGTTTAAAGAACATTCAGAAATAACGTTTCCATAATTTAATTGAAACAACAGAATGTTCTTGGAACATATTTTTTATTAGATGGGATGTCTTCGAAGAACTGTTTTTGTCCATACAATGAAAGTCAATAGGATCCAAAGCCCACACTAAATTTTAGTGTCTGGAAAAGGTAAAGACTGAAATATTTCTCAAACTATCTTCTTCAGAAGAAAGAAAGTCATACTGTTTTTGAGCAAAATGAGGGTGAGTAAATTATGACAGAATTTTCCTTTTTGGGTGAAGTATCTCTTTAAATATGGATTTGCTATAGGGACAGCATGGCTCATGAGACAAAACAGAGGATTGCCCAGAAATTATTACATGAAAACAGGAGCCAGCTAAACCAGTACTAATCACTGTAAAATAAAAAATCCGTACCGGTAAAAAAACTGCAGCTGTGGTTGCCGGAATTTTACCGTAAAAAATACGGTAGCAACGGTTTAAGTTTTACGGTTTTAACTTAAATTTACAGTTAAATACCGTTATTTCATTAACTGATATAATGTTAATATACCAACCTTATTGAAGTACTGAAATCTGTTTTGTACCTTTGTAATACACTGATAACCACCAAACATTCATAACAACATTAGGTGTAACACACAACCCTAATATACAAAACTGATTAGAAAAAAACTAAGAAGAAACAGTTATTTCAACAAAAAAACATCAAATTTGAAATGTAACGCAGGGAATTTTGGGAATGTCAATTTACGGTTATTCACTGTAAATTATACAGTCTTTTTCACTTCCAAAAACGGTATACAATAAATAATTTGCTGATTGTGAACCATGGTCTCCTTTTTGATACCAAATATATCTGCTCTTCTGCAAATCTTCACTCCCTCTTTTCCCTTTATCTTGGCCCTTGTTCACCTTCCCTCAACCCTATTCCTTCCATACTTCTTTCCTCTCTTTCTCTCTGGTGTTCCCATGGTATTGTGATCGTAAGGTCAGGGGCTTGGGCTGCTCTGGGTTAAAGCCAATTGGAAAGATTCCCAGGGCCTGTGCAGAAAATGGAGGAGCTACTGCAAATAAGCAAAGTACACAGACACACTCTCAAACTCTTAATGGGCCTTGAATACGCAAACACACACAACCACAAGCCTGGGGTTCAGCCACAAGGTATAGGTTCAAAATTGCAAATTCAAGACATTACTTGTATTCAAAACAGATAGAAGTACGCTAGAGACATGCATGCTAAGACTTGAAAAAAGTGTCACAGGTAAGAGCAGTAAAACCAGAGTCATTCATGCACTGACCTGCAATTCTGCTCTTTCTTACACCCATAATAATTTCAGTCTTAGCTATAGAGAATTCTTTTGTATTAAAATAGGTCAAGGTAAGTCAGTACAAATCTGTATTGTATCACATAAAATCCACATATAACATGCAATGTTTGACTACCTTCACGTTTACCTATATAAGCAAATAAAAGAGAGTGAGATTTCACAGCCAGACTGTTGGATCAGAAATCAGCATTTATTCACCATTATTTGTTTCTGTCTTTATGTCTTGTCCTGTAAGTCTATTGTAGTGTGTACAGCAGCAGCAGCAAATATCCAGTACAGAAAACCAACACATGGGCAAAAATGTCTCCTTGTGCAGATCTGAACAAGTGCTATAGAGGCACATGACAGGGTTAACGTGTAGTCAAATCCATTAATGATTCACTTTTATTGATAAGGCAGCAATGTTATAATATTCCTCACTGAGATGCAGCTGCTTCCCCTTCAGTCTAAAAACACAATGCATTTTAATGGTAAAAAGTCTTTGTCAGGAATGTAAGGTATTTGTGAAAGATGTCATGTCAATTATATAAGAATATCACATTTTCCATTTAATCCAAAATCCAGTCATAATCCAAGTCTGTATTTTTCAGACTAACTGAAAAAAGCATTAGTATTAAACATCATGAACAATCACAGTATTTTGCTGTGGTGGAGCAGAAACGAATTTTAGAGATGATTAATAAGTTGTGTGGTTTTTAGCGATGCATCTGCCTATTTATACTTATATACACATACCCATCTATATTTCCCCAATTGCTTGTTGTTTGTCTGACCTTTGAAATAGTATTGTACTTTTATTTATTGTTTTTGTTAGTTTTATTGTTGTAATTGTGCTTCAATGATGCAAAATTATAATATCCTCAGTAACCCTGATCACCCTTAATTAAATACAACTGTTTATCTGAGCTATACATGTTATCCTAAGTATAAGAAAATTCTAAATAAACACTAAGAGTTATGATTAGTGATAAAATCTATTTATTCTATGTCTAACATTTAGGTCCTATTCAGTATGATAATATTTAGTGTAATGAAATTAGTCCTTATGCTTACAAAAATAAAACGCAGAAACACTTGCTACTTAGAACAAAGCTTTTGAGAAGAGAAAAATGTGAGAATCTTTCAAATAATTTTTTATGTATACATGTAATGAATAATGTCTCAAATATTTTTTTTTAAATATGAGAACTGATGAGTTTAATTGAATACAGTAGATTTTTTTTTATTGCTGTTACAGAGCAAAGGTAGCATCATATAAAGTTGATTGCAATATGACTATTTCTGTTAATGTTTGCTCTTTTAAGACTTCCTTGTTGACAGTTTGATGTACTTCGGGGGTAAGTTAAAGGGGTCATATGATGCGATTTCAAGTTTTCCTTTCTCTTTGGAGTGTTACAAGCTGATTGTGCATAGATAAGATCCCTGAAGTTGCAAAGACTAAAGTCTCAAAACCAAAGAGATATTCTTTATCAAAGTTAAGACTCTGCCACGCCCCCCTAAAACGGCTCGTTCTAACACGCCCCCACATATCTACCTCACTATGTGGAAATATTAGCATAATGC